TTGAATGAGAAACAAATTTGTGCTGTAAACTTTCATCTAAAACACAACAAAAATTTAAAAAAATCAAAGATTACAGCCTAGTAAACCCTATGGGGCAGTTCTACTCTGTCATATAGGGTCACTATGAGTTGGAGTTGACTCGACCGCACGCAGTCTAGAACAACAGCAACAACTTGTTTGTTTTAAGTGTCTATTTGGGATACTAGTGGTGACTTTTCATTAACCTTAGCTGTGGGTTTAAATTGGACTCCTGGTTATGAAGTTAAGGTATGGAATCCCCAGCCATAAGTGTGGTTGGGCTCCTGAGAGAGTCTTGCACTGATTCTTCTGAAGTGTGATACTCTATAATATTTTTATTGTGTGTGTGTTGCATGCAACTCCTGTAAAAGAAGGTTCCCATTCAGACACCTTGTCAAGGCTCTGTGAGGACTGGTGGGAGGCCCGCAGGTAGAGAGAATGTGGATTGCTGTCACTCCCCAGGGGAGAGGGAGTCCCCTCCCTGGGTGCAGTAAGAATGAGGCAGGAGGGTCAGGTTGTCCTAGGGATGCAGTTCTCTGCCTTGGCTAGTGAATAAGGGCAGAGGGATTAGAGTAAATCAGTGCCTTCATGGACAATTTTAAAGTACAGCTTGAGCAACAGAGTGGTCACTTAGAAAGTGTCGAGCACATGTTTTCATTTCATGCAGCAGTTAAAAGAAAAAAAACAGAATGAGTCATGGGAGCAATAACAACAACAACCAAAATACGTATGTGTAGGTATGTATACATGTATGTATATATGTATGTGTTTACTTATGTGTGTGTGTGTGTGTATATATATGAACATTTGTGTGTATATATGTATAATAAAACAAATAAGGGTCGCAGGATTTGATACTTCTTACATATAACCAATCACCTAACAGGATTAGTTTTCTTGGTTTGAAGACTTAGAGTCATAGTCTCATGGGACATCTTGGTCGGTTGACATTATATAGTTCATAAAGTTCATATGTTACATCCTAGTCTGGTGAGTAGCATCTGGGGTCTTAAAAGCTTCTGATGGACACCTGCTAACTCAGAACTGAAGCCATTCCTGAAGTTCACCTTTCCGCCAGAGATTAGACAGGCCTAGAAAACAAATAGTAACACTTGTGAGGAATGTGCTTCCTAGTCCAATCAAGTATACCAGACCAAATGGGCAACACCTGCCCAAAAGCAAAGCCAAGAAGCCAGGAAGGGACAGAAAAACTGGATGAATGGTCACAGAGAACCCAGGGTGGAAAGGGAAAGGGGGATAGTGCTGACACATTGCAGGGATTGCGTCCAGTGTCACAAAACAATTTGTGTATAAATTTTTGAATGAGAAATTGATTTTGCTGTAAACTTGCACCTAAAACACAGTAAAACTAAAAAAAAAAAAAAAAAAAAAGCTTTTGAATGGTCAGGAGGTAAGATATAATTTTTGGTTCTTACTTGTCTGGAGCAAAAGAGAAAGAAGGATGCCCAAGATTCAGAGAAGGAACTGGTCTACAGGACTAATTTTCCACATACACCACAGCCTCCTCTACCCTGAGACCAGAAGAACTAGAAGGTGCCCAGCCAACACTACTGTATGTTCTGAACAGATCACAATAGATGGATCCTGCTATAAAGAGAGAAAAATATGGAACAGAACTTCAAATTCTCAAAAAATCCAGACTCACATGACCCATTGAGATAGGAGGAATCCCTGAGACTATTGCCCTGAGATATTCTTTAAGCCATGACCCAAAACTATCCCCTCAAGTCACCTTTTAACTAAATAGCAAGTTAGCTCATAAAGTAATGAATATCACCCTTGAATACTGAGCTCTGTTAAAAAATCATTTATATGAGACCAAATGGTGAAGAAATACTCTAAAGCATAGATGAGAAGGTTAGGGGAATATGGACTAGGTTCATGTTAATGGAACAACTAGAGTGGAAATAATGAGAATGTTGATACAATGTGAAGAATGAAACCAATGTCACTGAACAATATGTGTAGAAATTGTTGAACAAGAACCTATTTTGCGGTTTATACTTCCACCGAAAATACAATAAAATAGTATTAAAAAAATAAAGGAGTCATGGGAGCCAGTGTGGATTACCAGCTTTTTATTTTGCCAAGTAAAGACATTAAGACCACACCAAACTATACCAAAAGAAAGGAAAAAAACCCTATTATTATTATTACCACCATTCTTTCTTCAAGAAATGACGTTGTAATACCATAAAGAGTAGAAAGAGTACTCAGAATAAAAGACACGCAAAAAGTAGGAAGCATCAGCAGAATAAAGGACATTCCTTTAAGTTAAATAAAGTTAGCTTTGTGATAAACTCACTACAATATTCCTTTTCTTTTTTCCATTTGTCACAAATGAGGAAGAATTTCATCATGACCTGGCTTTGGGAGATAGTGCTTCCCAGTCTACTTGAATAAGAAAACCCCTTTTTTATTAAGGCATAGTTTACATACAGTAAAATGCACAAATTCTAAGTGTACAGGTTGATGAATTTTTCGTTATTACACACCTGTGTAACTATTATTCACATCAAGATATAGAGGATTTTCACACCACCGTCAAGTTCCTTCATACCCTTAACCAGTCAGTAACCATCCCTTGCAACCAGCTTTTTAACATCAAAAACATGGTAGAATCTATATTCTTAAAATCAGAAAACCAAACCCATTGCCCTCAAGTTGATTCCGACTCATAGCAATCCTATAGGACAGAGTAGAACTGCCCCATGGGGTTTCCAAGGCTGTACGTAAATCTTTACAGGAAGTAGACTGCCACATCTTTCTTTCATGGAGTAGCTGGTGGGTTCAAACCGCTGACCTTTTGGTTAGCAACCGAGTACTTAACCACTGTGCCACCAGGGCGTCTTTCTGTATTCTTAGGAGCCATTTATTAAACAGATACACGGGAGAGGGGAAGACTACAATGAAGTAAGTTTAAAATCTTATATTTAATTAATCATATTAGTATTTACATAGGTTTGGAAAATATACCATAGGTTAGACATTACTGATTCTGTTTACAAATAGTGCTTTTGTGTATATGGACTTGTGAACCTCTTGAAAAAGCTTCAAGATCCATCCTGCCCCCAGCAGGGATTCATGGCTTAAGGGCTGAGACTTCTACTTTCTAGCCTGTACCAAGTGGACATGACAGGAGGGGAGCCTGGCTGTGGTCAGTGGTTGGACTGTGTCACATAGAGCCTTATTTTGTTTTAAATAAATGATATCAACTTTAGACACATTGTCTGATGTTTCTTCATTTTTTAAACTGAACTTGTATGTATAAGTTTTTGAGCCTAGTTGTGAGCAAGCTTGTAAGGATTCATTTTAGCTGCCACTCAAGGCTATGTGTAAAGTCTATCATTGTTCTCAGTTTTCTTTCTTTATTATGGTCTCCATGGATATAGACTGAAAAAAGAATTGAGAGATGTACATTAATCAGGTTGATGGATAAAGAGCCATCTATCCAAGTTATATTTAGTTGGAATAAAAACGAGGAGAGAGCAAGTGCTCTGCTATTTTAGGTTCCTGATGGTTGGGTCAGAACCTCGTTTCTTTTATCATCTAAGGACTGAATAACATTCTGAGTTGAAAGACAAAGTGCTAATTTGATTGCCTAGAATGGCTCATTTCCATCTGTCTGGTAGCAAATGGAGGTGACGTGTTCCCTGTGTACCATGTGAGAATTCACTTGCAAAACTTTGCAGTGTTTTCTGTTCATTTTATACTACAAGAAAAAATAATACTGGTTTCTGAGACTTCATTCCTTTACACAAATGAATCACTAAATAGCACCACCCATTTATATTTGAGATTAGGGGTCTGTTTGTGCTACCATGAATTAATTGCTAAAAATGTGAACTGAGACAGAAGGGAACCAAAAGCAGCCAATTTTTCAATTCCAGAGATTGGTAAAATTTATGTTTTGTTACAGCAATCACATTGGCCTTGTAGCTAATCACCTCTATGTCACAGTGTTCCTACCTAATATTGCAACTGTAGTTAGATTGACATGTACTGGGAAGTTTCTGGATTCAGTACAAGACTGACAATACAATAGGGTGAAATCTGCTCTTGGTATTCCGATTGCTTCCCTCCAACCATCTCTGTTTTCTTCCTCACTGCTGTCCTCTGAGTTGTGTGAATGTAGGTATTTTAACCCTTTGTTGCAGATATGGTCAGCAAGTTAGGGACTAGGAGTTAAATGCAGAAGCAGCTTACCTCATTTTGTTTGCTTTGGTGATATTAACGGTAGCAGTTATCCCTATCCCTAATGTTGTTTTCACTGGTACAGATAGATCGTTGAAAGTGGTTTGAAACGTAACCTGGTGAAGCTGGGGTGGGTGTAGACAAGGATTATATGCATCTGAAACAGTAGCTTGCCCTGAGTGTGGGGCCCAGTTATTAGTTAATGTTGTCATGGCAATACTGTGTTTTAGCATATTGACTTAGAGCCCTGCCCTCTAAAACAGAGGAAGCCATTCCCAATGAGGAAGCAGAGCTGGGGGCTCAGGGCCTTGGCAGCTCTAAGTGTGGTCTCTGGCATCACCTGTTAGAAATGAGGAATCTCAGGCCCTATCCAGCCTACTGCATCAGAAGCTATACTTTAACAAGACACCTCCAGGTGACTTCTAAGCACAGTTTTGAGAAACCCCAGTCTAAGAAACTTCTTCCCCATCACCTGTCACCAAGCAGATGTATTATCTAGCCACCTTTTACAGACTGGCAGTTTAGTTTGTTTAGTAAATGTTCTGTTCTGAGAATATGGATGAAGGTGAGAGTACATAGTCCATGGGATAAAAGCTCTTTATATGCCCAGAGATGCTGGCTAATTGACAGAGGTGTTGAGGAATTAATTAGTTAATTAACACTTCGAGCCTTTAGCATGAAAGGTGTCCTATAGAATTAGAACTCACTTTTGACTGCTTGGTGTAATTGCCTGTTTTGTTGTGATCTGTTTGCTCGTCTTGTTTCAAAAAAAAAAAAAAAAAAAATCCATATATTTGACTGTTAATCTTTCTAATATCTTAATGCTAACCTGCAACTGAACATGTCTGGAATAGGCTTAATTGCTGTAGAGTATCTTTCAAATAGCGATGCTTTACCAAAAAAAGGGGTGCTTTATCAAAACCTAAAATATTTGATCAAATATCTCAGCAGAAAATCTCACTACCTTATTTTTCCTTCATCCCAGGAAACATAGCACTTCAGGGCATTTGTTCATATTATTGGTTACTGTGCAATTCTGAGGTATTTGAGGTTATGCCCATCACAAGAGATAGCAAAATAGACAATATTTTTCTCTTGTAGGAATACAAATACATGTTGACATCGCTTCATCTTTGAATACCAAATATAGAATAAAGATAGCCATTTATGTGATACATCATTCTCTCTCTCTTTAAGTATTTTGATGACATTTTCTCATAAGGGAAAGTGAGATTCAATGAAATTTCTGCTAAGGAAAAAACATATTTCAAAAAGTTTTCTTTTTTTCAACAGAGGCTGATAAGAAGTAGTAGGCATAAAGATACTGCTTGTAATACACAAATTGAAGCATTCTTTGAATACAGTTGTATATTTTAAAGCAGCTTACAGAGGTGTATTTTTCCATGTGTGTTAGTGGAATCCATCACACACGTGGGTTAATGGGTTTATGACCTAGGATGCTTAACTAGATTGCATAGATTGTATTAAAGAGATTAACAGTCAAATTTATTATTGTTCTTTGAGACAAAATTTGTTTATTTAATCTCTATTTGAAGAGTAGCAAACAAAAGTAGGCCTAGGCATGATCAGAACTTTGTCTAACCTTCTTGGAATTAGTTTGTTCTCAAAGGGACTAGATAAAAAATCTGTAAATGGTTGACCCAACATTTAAGGTTCACGTTTTACCAAAGCAGAAGTATTATCTTTATATAAGGGCCACTACATTATTCGTTTGTTTATTCAAACAAGTTTGTTTGTTTTTTTTTTTTAAACTTACAATGTACCATGGACTATTCTAATTGTTGGGGATTTAATAGTGAGTTATACAAAATCTCTTGTTAACTCTCTAAGAAGCTTGCGGCTATTTCCCCATCTGTATCATTTTTTTCACAGGGATATGCCGTCCTGAACCTGTGTTGTCTGAAAGTTATTTTCTAGGAGAAGAGGTAGATATTATTCATTTGGAAAAATGTATAATTACAAAATGTTAAGTGCTTTGAAGGGAAAGTACAAGAGAATCTGACTCTAAGTTTCCCTAAGGAAGTGATATTTAAGCTAAAATTTGAAAGATGAATGAAGAATATGTAATTTATTCTTGGGTTGCTTGTTTAGAAAGCAAACACATGAAAAAAATGTTAAGTATCATTTTTTTGGGCAAATTAATGGCAACAATATTTTACTGTGATTTTCTTTGCTTTTGTCCAGGAGAAGCTGCGTTGGATCAGAACTTGTAGACTGGCTTCTAGAACACTGCTCTTTTGTCCAATGCAGATCTATGGCTGTAGGGGTCTGGCAGCTCCTACTGGATATGGGAATTATGTCGTCAGGTTAGTTCTATATGTTTTAAACTCACAGCACCATTTTTTTATGCTATCAGATCAGAATGTGCTTGATTTTGATCCTGTAAAGGATGTTACAGTCTGTATGGAAATTGTTTTTACAGGTAAGTATTTGCATTCTCTCTTATTTTATAAAAGTAGCGTGTCATTTTTTGATTGAATTATTTCTCTCATACCATTTGTAAAAATAACTTGCTGATTGATAGACTGATACCTATAAGAGTCTTTCCTTACCCTCTCCCTTCTCTACTCAAAATGCTGCTCACAAACATTTTTTTCATCAGTGACATCTTTAGTTGCTCTAAATGTGATTTATCTTGCTGTACTCAGAGTAATCATCAGAAACTGATTTTATAAGTGGAATGTGTATGCCATTTTAATTCAGACTTAGTAATCATGAATAGTTAGAGATAGGACCCATGGAAATGAGCCGTTTAAACAGAACAGAAAATAGATGTTAACTAGAAACTAAAATAGATAGTGAATATCTCTTTTCTTAGTTGAGCCCAGGGAATTGAAGGATTAGAAGTCAGGCACTCTGAATACTTAACTTTTTTACTCAGTTGCTGGTTGGTTACTGCGAAGCCCTTTTTTTTTTTTCTCTATAGATAATAAATATTGAGGGCCAGAGAACATAGGTTCAAGGAGGCATACCCTTGGTGCCACCGTGAAAAAATGGTACAGATGGGGATGTGGCCACAGTCTTCTTAGAGAGCCAAGAATACCAAGTACCTAATGCTCTTCTTTGGAAAACCAGTTGGCTACCTTTGAGGAAAGGAGCCCTGGTGGCACAGTGGTTAAGAGCTCAGCTACTAACTGAAAGGTTGGTGGTTTAAACCCACCCAGCGGCTCCATGGGAGAAAGACCTGGTGATGTGCTCCCACAAAGATTTCAGGCTAGAAAACCCTACTCTATCACATGGGGTCATGATGAGTTGAAATTGATTTGACAGCACCCAACAACAACAACCTTTGAAGCAGAGAAGTATTATTAGCTCACATGCTAGGTTTAGGCTTCTGGTACCAAACTATTTTGTGTTAATGTTCTTTGGAAAAGTCTCCAGTTCCTGATCCCTTTAAAACAGGATTTCTCAACCTCGACAGTATTGACATTTTGGGATAGACGATTGTTGTTGGGGGCTGTCCTGTGCACTGTAGGATTTTTAGCAACATCCCTTTACCCACTAGGTACCAGTAGCAACCCCAAGTTGTGACAGTCAAGCACATCTCCAGACATTGCCAGATTTCCCCAGGGGACAAAATCACCCCCACTGAGAACCACTGCCCTAAAACTTGCCATTGTGCTGTGTTTGTGTACCACTAAAGTAAAATCCCTGAGTGGTGCAGACAGTTAACACTTCTCGGCTGCTAACCAAAAAGGTTGGAGGTTTGAATCCACCCAGAGGAGGGACCATGAAAGAAAGACCTGGTGAACTACTTCCAAAAACTCAGCTATTGAAAACCTTATGGAGCACAGTTCTACTCTGCTTGGAGTCTCTGTGAGTTGGAATTGACTTGATAGCAACTGGTTTGGTTTTTAAAATAATTAAATGATGTTACAGTTCACTTTGGGTCACTAAAAAAATTTCTCACTACCCTCTTTGAATTACTGTTGATTTCATCTGTACCTGTCTCCGAAGCAGAAAAATTATAAAATAACATGTGAATATGGTGGGCAGAGCTTTGAGTAATAAAAATAGACCGGCCAGTAAGTCCTTTGCAGTTTCAAGAAGTTGTGAAAATGAGTGGGCTTAGAATGCATAATTTTAGTCCTACTCCTGGCTTCTCCCTATTAGGCCTTTCAATTTATTATTTAGTTTATGACTCTCTGAATAAAATACTTTTTAAGACCGATCCACACCTTTTTTATTTCCAACAGTGGACCAGCATCTCTACTTTCAAGATACCTATGTTTTCTACCAGTTTTCATCCGATGAGTGTAGCTACCTGTACTGTGAATTTGAAAGGGAAGAAGAATGGCAAAATGGTGTCAAACTTTTACTGCAACTTGTGCCTCTCATCCCTGCTAGATCTGGTATCTGTGAACTGTAAGTAGATCCCATTTTGTTTGTTTGATTGTTAAATTACTTTCACTTACTATGTGCTAGGGACTATGCTCTGCCCTGTATGATCACTATCGTTTAAGAGGGAGTTAAACTATTCCCGTTTTTTAGATGCAAGTTCAGAAAGATAAATTGCTAAAAATGAAATATACCTAATAAATGACTAAACTGGGATTCAAATCCCAGAAGCCCATGCCTCACCAGCTGCATAATGCGACTTCTGATTTATCGTTGCTAAATGAGTAGATGATCTAAAATAGGAATAAACATATGATTTGGCTCAAGTTGGGATAAAATAATAACTCACATCTTATCCAATATCCAAGTCGTGACTTTCTTTCCCTAAGAAAGAGCTCAACAAACATTTTTAAAAATAATCTAGAAGCAACATTTGCAAATTAAAACACATGAATCATTATCACATGAAGATACTGAATCACCATATTATTAAAATGAATTAAAAATAATTAATTAGAGAGGCTTTGGGAACAGGATTTGAGTCATGATATGGTGATTCTGACATGCCTTTGTTTATCTGTGGCAATAATGACAAACTTATTTCAGTATTGTGAATTGCAGATTAAAATTTGAATTAATCATTTTTACATATGTAGAACACTTTAGTTTTCAGAGTAGTTTCACGTACCGTTGAATCTTTCAGTTCTGTAAGATTAGCAGGGCAGGTGGTATTGTTCTCATCTTATAAGTAAGAAACTAGATTCAGAAAGAAAACCTTACAACCATCACAAAGATAAGTTAGTCTTATTAGTTAAAAAGTGGCAGTTAATACTGAACATTAATACAAGCTGTTTTTGGAAACAAAATAAGTATCAGAATATTAATAACACATTGTACATTTAGAAAAGTTGATTGTCAAAAATGTCTGTCAAGCACTGGGCTAAATGCTTTATATGCAGTATTTCATCTTCACATGAATTCTGTAAGACAAGGGACTATTATTATCCCTACTTTATAAGCAAGGAAACTGAGGCACAGAGATCAGCTAACCTCTTCAAGGTCATGCAAATTGTGGGCAGAGTCTTAGGGTTTGAATCCATGTGTCTGGCTCTAATGCCCATGCTTTTAACATCTGCAAAAGTTACGGAATCATTCTAGCTTCCCCTTCTGAGAAGTTATAAATGTAAACTATAAAAGTGTTAGACCAAGTTCTGAAATGGTTATGGATTCCCCACCACCACCACTACCATTTATGGAGGGCCTTGCAATGGCAAAACAAAATTCAAATATAATTCATCACTCAGTTAGTGTGAGTATGGAAAATGTTCTTTAGGGTAATTTGCTCTTAATATAGGTCAAAAGTGTCCCAAGAAAAGTTGAGGAAAAATCCTTAGGAATAAATCTAACCAGAGACATAAAAGACCTATATAATGAAAACTACAAGCTACTACTGCAAGAAACCAAAAGAGACCTGCATAAGTGTAAAAACATAGCTTGCTCACAGATAGGAAGATTCAACATCGTGAGAATGTCTGTTCTACCCAAAGCTATCTACAGATACAGTGCAATCCTGATCCAAATTCCACCGACATTTTTTAATGAGACGGAGAAACAAATCACCAACTTCATATGGACAGGGAAGAGGCCCCGGATAAGTAAAAAGCATTACTCAAGAAGAAGAACAAAGTTTGAGGCCTCACACTACCTGATTTTAGCACCTATTATACCACCACAGTAGTCAAAGCAGTCTAGTACTGGTACAACAACAGATACCTAGACCACTGGAACAAAATTGAGAATCCAGACATAAATTCATCCACCTATGAGCAGCTGGTATTTGACAAAGCCCCAAAGTCCATTAACTGGGGAAAAGACAGTCTCTTTAACAAATGGTGCTGGCATAACTGGATATCCATCTGCAAAATACTAAAACAAGACCCATACCTCACACCATGCACAAAAAACTAACTCAAAATGGATCAAAGACTTAAATGTAAAATTGAAAATTATAAAGATCATGGAAGAAAAAATAGGGACAATCCTAGGAGCCCTAATACATGGCATATACAGAATATGAACCATAAGTAACAAAGCACAAGCACCAGAAGAGAGACTAGATAACTGGGAGCTCCTAAAAATCAAACACTTACGCTCATCAAAAGACTTCACCAAAACAGTCAAAAGACAGCATACAGACT